TTACAATTCGATATAGCAGCTTCACAAGAGGGTAAAATCCATGGAGTAGAATGAGGCTTGACTTGGGACTGCGAGAAGGAATAAAAGCGTTCATTCTTGCCTAAATCCAGGAGTTTACATAGGAGGCACATTTTTCAGCTGAGAGAGAAAAGACATCAGCCCAAGGACCATCTTGAAGAAAATCATGAAAAGAGTCTCAGCCAGCTTTTAGGGTAGTAGTAAGTAAATTTTTAGGGTAGTAGTAAGTAGCGCAATGATAGATTGAGTCCAAAAATAAAGTACAAGATGAAAGATTTAAAGAGATCATTGCATGGTCAGAACCACCTAAGAGAGAAAAAAGAGAAACTGAACACAAGCTTGGATCAGAGATAAAACACAAATCTAGGAGTGAAGGTAAATGATTAAGGTTATCTGGTCATAAAAATTAACTACTGAGAAAGAGATTAGAAAATGCAGAAGTTATTTTAAAATTAAAGTGACCAATAATAACAATATTGGTAGAGGGGTAATTAGAGAGGTCATGGTCAATTCTGTCAGAATTTACATCTAAAAAAGTGCAGTCTTGGGAAGAAGGAGAGCGATGAAGAAAAAAGAGAAAGGTGATACAGTGAAGAGTGGTAAGCAGAAGCACATAAGAGAATGATCAAATGATTTTAGCCTAATATTTTAACAAATAAGTGAATTGATGCAAAAGTATAAGCGCAAGCCAAGCATTTGACAATTAGAGTTGTTTCTAATCAAATGAGTTTCCCATCAATACTGAGTTCTTAAGAAGAAACATCTGAATATAAATAAGTGTCACAAAGAGCAAGCAAGCCTAGTGAATTTAGAGAAAGATGAGATTTAACTGATGGAAAGTTACTTTGCAGACCACGATTATATCTTTTTCATATTTGTGAAATTGTTTGGTGGTGGGGATGGTTTTTATGTTCAATATTTTTGGTTACTTTGGGCATGGTTTAAGTTTAAAAAAAAATTGACTCATTCATAGATAGCATAGCATCCCAAGCAATAAGCTATGCAGTTGTCTCTACATAGCTTCTCTACAGTCTGTACTCAACCAAGAGCTCCAAGGTAAGGCATGTTCTACCTATTTGGCATTTTTTATCACAAACTGTAAATTTAGATGTCAAACTATATAAATAAAAATTAGTACATACACATACACACACACACACATATATACATACATATATATATATATATATATATATATATATATATATATATATATATATATATATATATATATATATATTTATATATATATATATATATATATATATATATATATATATATATATATATGTATATATAAATATATATGATATATATACATATATATATGATATATATATATATATATATGTATATATAAATATATATGATATATATACATATACATATATATATGATATATATATATATATATATATATATATATATATATATATATATATATATATATATATATATATATATATATATATGTATATATAAATATATATGATATAGTATGTTCCGAGTTCGATCCCCACCACGTCCCTGGTAGTACCGCGCTCAACTTGTTTCTCCGCGCAGCGGCCTTGTTCGTCAAGGTTCGTGTTTCGGAGTAATAGAGTTGAGAGAGGGTTATAACCACAATTAAGTAGCCTCCTCGTCTGTAGTGGCCTTCTCGGCCTTGGGGAGGTGAATAACAAAAAAAAAAAAAAAAAAAAATATACATATACATATATATGTGATATATATATATATATATATATATATATATATATATATATATATATATATATATATATTTCAACAATTTAAAATGTATTCCACAAAAAGAGTGCTCAAAAAAACAATTTCATTATAAAATATTTCAGTGTTCAAAAATTATGACCATGTAAAGTTTGAATCCGAGGGGGTTTGAGGGGGTTACAATTTTTATTTTTTTATTTTTTCTATTTAATTCACCTCCTCAAGGCCGAGAAGGCCACTACAGACAAGGAGGCTACTTATTTGTGGTTATAACCCTCTCTCAACTCTATAACTGCGAAACACGAACCTTGATGAACAAGGCTGCTGCGCGGAGAAACGAGTTGAGCGCGGTACTACCAGGGACGTGGTGGGGATCGAACTTGGAACCATTCGTTTATGAAGCGAGCGTTCTACCACTACACCACTACCACATATTTGGTTATAGTTTTTGAGCGCTAAAATATTTTACAATGGAATTTAAAATTTATTGATAAATATAAGTCTTGTTGAGAATAGTACAAAAAATACTTTATCAACTTGTTGCTCTCACATTTGGGGCAGGTACGTCTCAAATTTTAGGGCTTTTTTGTTCCCAGGCTCCAATCATCGCAATTTTTTGCAAACCATCCTTATTTGACATAAGTATAAATATATAAATGTTTGGAGTTAGCTACATGTCTGGAAGTTAGCTATCTCAAACACCAAAAAATGCTGGATCCGCCCCTGTTTGAGCTCACTTATTTTTATAGTTTTTCAGGAGAAACTTATTTTGGTGCTTGCATTTATAAATCAATTCTGATTTTTTGTTTAATAAACATTCTTGGTTTGCATGTGTAATTATTTCAAATTTTTCTTGTAGACATAGTATTTTAACATTCCGTGTAAATATGAAAACTAATAATTTCACTTACTCGTTGAAAAATATACTTATACTAGATAAAAAAAAAGTTATACTATTTCTTTGATCGAAAAAGTTAAGCATTTTATAAAAAAAATTCGTTGGAAAGCGCATTTTTTCTTTTCATTTTTTCAAAACCAAATACAAACACAAATGATGTATTTAATAATAATTATAATCAAGATAATGATAATTATGGATTTAAAACAAAAAATATCCAACTTTTCATACCTGATTTAGAAAATTTTGAAAATGATCTATTACATTTAATTAAAACAATAAAGTTTCGTCCTATAAAAAACGAATTTCAAACAAAATTAAAGTTAGATGTTAAAAAAATTAAATCAAACTCTAATATTTTGCTTTTTGCTGATGAAATAAATAACATTTACTAACTCTCAACAGAAAACAATGAAAAAATTTTACGCGACAATATTACTAGTTCTTATGAGAAAGCCCCTTAAAATTTGGAAAACACAATTAATTTAGAAGGGCAAAGTATTGCTAAAAAAATAAACCTTGATAACAGAATCGAATTAACTGCTCCTGCTCAAGCCTCTGTAACATTAAAAGACCATAAACCAAATTTTCAAAACAAACTTCCTTGTAGGTTATTGGTTCCCTCAAAAAGTTAGATTGGACATGTAAGCAAAATTAAATTGGACAAAATTAATAATATTCTTAGAAACAAATTAAATTTGCACAGTGGAAAAATACCACTGATGTTATAAATTGGTTCTTCATAATCAAAAATAAAAATGACTGTATGTTTATTCAATTTGACATTAATGATTTTTACTCCTCAATAACTGCAGATATTTTAGATAAAACAATTGAATTTGCAAAAAGCCATACAGTTATTCCTGAAGAAACAATCCGCATAATAAAACATTCTAGAAAAACTTTACTTTATTTTAATAAGGAAACTTAGAAAAAGAAAAACATACATGACTGCTTTGATGTAACAATGGGCAGTTATGACGGGGCAGAAATTTGTGAATTTGCTGGACTATATATTTTAGATTTATTAAGTAAAATAATCAATATAAATGATTTAGGTCTTTATCGCGACGATGGTTTAATAGTAATGCGTAAAAAATCTGGTCCACAGCTTGATAAAATTAGAAAAGATATTATAAAAATATTTAAAAATATTGGCTTTCAAATTGAAATAAACATAAATTTAAAAATTGTGAATTTTCTTGATGTCACATTTATCTCTCTGAAAATTCATATAAGCCTTTCAAAAAACCAAACCATGAATTATTGTATATTAATATTAACTCAAATCATCCACCCCAAATTCTAAAACAAATTCCGATTTCAATTAATAACAGGCTTAACCAAAACTCCGCTAATGAAAATGTATTTAATTCCTCCAAACAAATATTTCAAGACGCCCTTAAAAAAAGTGGTTTTGAAAATTTTGAATTAAACTTTGACCCTAAAAAAAAAAATACAAAAAAGCGAAATAGAACTAGAAATGTAATTTGGTTTAACCCCCCATATAGAAAAATGTTTCCACTAACATAGGAAAAGTTTTTTTAAAACTGATCGATAAGCATTTCCCGCTCTCCAATAAATTACATAAAATTTTCAATCGAAATACAATTAAAGTTAGTTACAGTTGCACAAAAAATATGGAAAGAATTATAAAAGGTCACAACAATTCCTTGTTAAACAAAAAAAAAATCCAAAATGAAAAAACTACAGAAAATTGCAATTGTAAACAAAAAAACAATTATCCAATGAGTGGAAGCTGCCTATCAAAAAATGTGGTATATAAATTTGTTGTTTCCTCTAAGAATGAACCTGATAAACAATATATTGGCATAACAGAGGGAAAAAAACGTTTTGCCAATCATAAGCAATCTTTTAAAAATAAAAAGTATTCAAAAGACACCATGCTGTCAAAATATTTATGGGAATCAAAAAATAAAAATATTGATGATTTTATACTGAATTGGCCCATCCTTAAAACAGCGCCTGCATATAACAATATTTCCAAAAAATGCATACTATGTCTACAAGATAAATTTGAAACAATTACACATGCAAACCAAAAATGTTTATTAAACAAAAAATCAGAATTGATTTCTAATTGCAGGCACGAAAATAAGTTGAAAAACTATAAAAATAAGTGAGCTCAAATAATAGTTACATTAAATCCCCCTTTAAAAATATTTTTTAAAAAACCTTAAGTAATCATTTCTAAAAAATTCTTTTTAAAACAGTGTCAGCAAATTACACAAATGTGTGAAAAATTACAGTAGTTAAGACATTTAATGTAAGTAATGTTCACACATTTGAAAATGTGTGAACATTACTTACATTAAATCTGAAAAGACATAAACATTACCTTATCATGTGGTTCCAATTTTTGTCTATAGAATAACAAGAAGCTACAAATGGAGCAATAGTGCTGTTAGATGCAACAATCGCTGCAAAAAGAAAAAGAAAAAAAAAAGAAATTAGTTAAGGTAAACCCAAGAATGATACAATCATGCATAAAAAATATTTTAAAAAAATGGTTCAGTCATTTGGACACCAGATCCAAAGTTTCAAAATATTTTAAAAAATATGCAAAGTATATTTTGAATGTTTATTAGATTAAAAGTTTGAAAAACATTAATATTTTTTTAATACTTTTATTAAAATATATATTTTTTTAATATTTTTATTAAAATATTAAAAAAAAAAAAAAATTATATTTTGAAATTATTAAAAAAATAAAATTTTATAGAGTGGCTATTATATAAATATTTACAAACCTTTAACTCAGTTTTAACTTAAGAAACCCATAAGTTAATTAAAAATAATAATAGTAATAGTTGGAACTCAAACTTTTTTTTGTTTGCATCTTATGTTCTAGTTGGGTTAATTTACAACTATTAAGTGCAAATATTGTATATTAAATAAAGATTTTATGTTCCATCAAATGTTTTACAAAGAAGTCTGAATTGAAAGTCAAAATATTCACCCAAATAAATAAACAGTAAATAACCAATAAGAATTAAACAAACAGTAAACAACCAATATGAATTCAACAAACAGTAAATAACCAATAAGAATAAAATAAGCAGTAATAATTAACCAATAACCAATAAGAATTAAATTTAAAAGAAAATCTCAATCAAAACTTTTTTTTTTAATTTTTATTTTATTTAACTTTTGGGCTAAAATATAAGTTTTTCTAAATTAAAAGCTGTGATAGACGTGTGGTGGCAGAGTGGTCACTTTATAAGCGAGATGCAGGAAGTTTAAATCCCACTATGCCCCAGGTAGTACTGAGGTCAACTTATTTTTCAGTACCTTGTATCACTCTCTCACAACGCTATAGCTCCAAAACAAAAACTTTAACAAACAAGGCTGTTGTATGGAGAAAAAAGTTGAGCTAAATACTACCATAACTATGGTGGAAAAATTTAACTTTCTCTTTGCTTTGTTTTAGTATTAAATATTAGTGCAATAATTTATTTTAATCTATTTTTTAATTTAAAGGTCATTTTAGCATAGCAGGTCACACAACTTGATTATAAAATACATCTTTAAGTGATATGTGTATTTAAATGTAAAATAAATTTTTAAATTCATGTCTTCACATTTCAAGTCAAAATGAAAAATTTTAAAAAAATTACACTTAATAAAAACTACTCATTAACTTGCTGATTTTTTTAACTTAATATTATTTTCTTAATTTTTTTCTCTGCATAAAAATAACATCTTTTTTTACCTGTGGTAGTTGTGTTTGAAGCCATTGTTATATATGCAGCACTTGTTGTCATTGTCATGTTTGCAAACAAAGGTTTACCAATTGCAAGAGGGTATTCTTTCCATAAACCTTTTAAACCACCAACCTTTTTGAAACCTTAGTTTAAAAAAGTAAACATTTGAGTTGCATAAAACCTATTAGATTATTAAATAATTCTATTATTTGCATAAAACCATAAAGCTTTTAGAAAAAGATTAATTTTAAAATTCAAAGAATTACCAATTATAGACAATGCTAATGCACCAAAAACCATTATAATACATTGCATAACATCAGTGTAAATTACAGCTGTAAGACCTCCTGCAAAATTATTTATTTAAATACAATAACTGACCAGATTTAATTTGTTTCATTTTTAATTCAATTTTAAAAAAGTTAATTACCAAATAAAGTATATATAGCAGTAAATGACAGCAGAACAGCTGATGAAAGGTATATGTTAATGCCAACAGCATTTTGTAGAAATATACCACCAGCATATATATCAACCTTTTTCAATTTACAAAAAATAATTCTTCAATAAATACAGAGTATATGAATATATTGATCAATGAATATATTAATTTTCAATAAATACAGAGTATATGAATATATAAAAAAATTCATGTAAGAAAAGAAAAAATAATTTATATAAATAAGCAATCCTACAGCAATTTTTGTTGTAACATAGCTGATCAGTGAGACAATGGTCAGATAAAATCTCATCCATTTGCTTTGGAAGCGATGCATAAGATATTCAGGCATGGTATAAATTTTTGAGCGAATGTAAATTGGAACAAAGAAAAAACCAAGTAAGAGCAAAATCCAGCTCGCATGCCATTCATATGCCACAACACCAATTCCTGCTGCAGCACCAGAACCAGCTAACCCAATAAAATGTTCAGATCCCATGTTACTAGCATACAGACTTCCTCCAACCTAATCAAATTTTTTTAGAAATTTATTTTTACTGTGTACGCAAATTTATATATTAACGAAAAAATAATTTTTATTTAACTACATAAAAATAAAAAAATTAAAAAAAAAAAAAAAAATGATTAATCATCTGTAACCATTAAGGGATTATGAAAAGATTATTACATTGTATAACATTAAAATGTGCAAAAGAACTCTCTATTCTAGTTCTCTACTAACTAGAGTAATGGCGAGGTAGCAAATAGTTGCAAATAGTAGTATACCAAAAATATAACAAACAGCTTAGAGAAACAGTATGTTTCAGGTATAAAATAGTATATATCATATATAGCATAGTTTATTTCATGTATAACATATATATTTGTTGAAATCTTACTACACTATGATTGTTATATTTTGTTTACAAAAACTGAATATATTTTGTGCATTATACTTAACGCAATAATAACTTATTTTATTGCTTAATATATATATATATATATATATATATATATATATATATATATATATATATATATATATATATATATATATATATATATATATATATATATATATATATATTTAAATAACAAAGTTGATATTTAATTTTTATTTTTATTTTTATTTGTTTTTTAATAAATATTTTATTTTTATAATATAGCAATATTTATTTTTATTTTTTAGCTAAAATCTCCCATCATGAAATTTAAATTGATTGTGTGATTTTTCTTATAATAACTTTATAAAATGTTCTAATTAAGCTTAGGGTGAGTGGGAATATTTTCTGGAAATATATAATTTATATATTTCCAAATATCTCAATTATTTTGTAACAACAAATACATCAGATTTGATTGTTTTTAATGTAATATTATTCAGACATTTTCCAAAAACCTATCATCAGTCTCATCTTGTTTCAAACATCAATTGAATCTGGTCTGCAGGGCTGGACTTATAGCCAGTCCTTATTTCAAAAAAGCAAAAGCATTTTTCTCTTTATTTCGAAATTTAGTCAAGACTGTCCACCAAATGAAGACTGCTGCACTTGAGACAAAAGAATTTGTTTAAAGGAACACTCCATATAATTTAAAGCTTTGTCAAGAAACACTGGGAAAAATTTTTTTTTTTTGCTTTAAGCCAATTTTTGATATGAAGCCTATCCTTTTCTACATCCAAAGTAAAGGAAAGAAAAATAACTTTCCTGACATGCAGAATACCTGGTGGAGAGAGATTCCTGATGAATATATTTTTGAAATCTAGCAGAAAACTTTGCCTTTGATAAAAAGGTTCAATAGTTCAATCAATACTTTGTTTGCTGAAGACATGCCGTCATTTCATGAAATCATTCCTAAAGTGTTTAACTTGCACAAAATCTACTCTGACAGTATGACAGAAGAAAACACCAAAGATATAAAGAACTACTGTGAAGTTGTTTTGTTCGAGCTTGAAGGAAAGTTTAAAAATCAGGGCTGTGATGAGAAAGCTTTTACAGAAGCGAATTTTTTAGATTCACCATACTATGGTGTGGATTTATGTTGATTCTACCCAACATTATTTGAAAAGGTCAAGAGAGAAATCATTAATGAATATTCTTACTATAAAGAATAGGCCTCTGCAACATGTCAAAAAGTTTTGGAGCAAATTTCAGTAGCTCAAGTCAGAGTTTTGATAATGATGACTACACATCCCCTGAATTCAAACAAAAATAACTTTCAGGTACGTGTATTTGTTTGTTGGACATATTTAAATATCTACTTGTCTTATCCTTATGCCAAAATCTTATAAATACAACTCAATCCAGAATAAATTTTAAAAATCTTTGTAAGAAAGAGTCTAAAATATTTGAAAAATAGTGAAAATAAAAATATGTATAATGTTAAAAATAGTAGGGTTAACATTTTTATTTTACTATAAGACTTTAAGAAAAATCTCCTTTGGTTCTTTGTTTCATCATCATTAATATCATCATGTTGGTTCTTTAATTTTTTAAAGCGTTAAAATTTTAATTTAAGAAGAATTAATATATTTAACAGTTTGAGTTACTAAGGTAAATTTTCAAGAAATTGACATTAATTTGCCAACTAATAGCGATGTTTTAAAATATTATTTTTTTCTAAAGCTATCACTCTAAATTTCAAAATAAAAAATCTTCTTATAACAGTTTTACTTTGCCTATAGCAGACAAAATAATTGAAATATGGAATAAACTTAATATTAAAACTATAAATAGAAAAAAGTGTTTTAAAAAAGTTGAATATCTTAATTGATAAATATCAAAATGTGATTAAACATAAACACTTAATTGGAAAATTTCAGAAATTCATTGATTCATTAGAAAATCTATTTTTTATTGGAAAATGAAGATGTGAATTAAAAAAAACTGACTAATGTAGGGTTGTATTATACTAATAATACTAATAAGTATCTAATAATAATACAATAATAATAATACTCTTGTGAATTGATTCCTGTACAATTGAAAGAATTTATATTGGACCAACATAATGACAGAAAACTTACAATACCGCAATATACGCCATCATTGGTTGAATTTTCAGAGGAAATATTTTCAGAAATACCCACAATACTGAGTAGTAACGATCCAACATATGAATTTGAAACGTATGAAGTAACTGTTGATGAAACAGTTGAAGAAGCATCGTCAAAACGTGGTCATTACACGTCAAGATATGACGCATTGGAATTTGCCATGATATGCGATAGATTTGGCATTTCTGATAGAGTGGCTTCTGCTTTAGCAACAGCACTTTTCAAAGGCCTCAATATAAGAGATACTGACGGTAATCTTATGATTATGGATAAGTTGAAAGTAGCTAGAGAAAAATAGAAATGTAGAGATACGGTGCTTCGTAAGCAAAATGTTGGTTCTTCTATATTATCATTTATATTTGATGGGAGAAAAAATGACTCTTTCATACAACAACAAATTAATGACAAATTTCATCAAAATATTGTAAAAGAGCATCATTTAGTTGTTGCAAAGGAGCCTAATGCCACATTACTTGGATATGTAAAGTTGAATGGTGATAATGCAGAAACTCAACAAAAAACTTTAAATGAATTTTTTGTTAATAAAGATATATCACTAGATTCATTAATTGGCACTAGACCATTGCATTGGTTTATATGTCTACTACATTTTAATGAACTTCCATTACATCAGTTATACAAAGCATTGGAGAAATCAGCCTCATCTGGACCTCGTACATCAACTGGAGAGTTAGCTCAAAAGATTATAGAATGTCACAAATTGCAGGTAAGTAATAATTAATTTATTTTAATATCTGATGTTAGTGTTACATAAGATCTAAGTACTTCTATACAAACAAACACTATTCTATTCAGGTTGTAAGTGACTTTCAATCAATTCCATTGAAGAATTTGCCTCCGCTTTTAGAAGATCAACATCAAAAAGATTTATCTACAGATGTTCAGTATTTATACAAGATAGGTCAAGCAATTACCAATGGCATCTGCCCAATGGATTTGGCTAGTATTAAACAAGGACCAATATCACATGCCCGCTAGTTAACTAAGGCTAGCAGAATATTAAGATTATACGTGACAACTAACAATCCGTCGAAAAATTTAAAAATTCTAGCAGTTTATATAATGACTGTTTATATTCCATATATTTTAACATTAAATATTATAGTTCTGTAGTATATGGTAATCAAATTTTATTGCAATTTATTCAATAGACAAAATATTTATCCCCAAATTTACGCAATATTATAATTAAAGTTGTTGACAATAATTCATATAACGCACACCCAGAAAATGTGTTATTGGGTATGCTATTTGATACGAGAAAATACATACGCAACAGAGCCATAGATAATTTAGACAATACTAGTAAAATTAGAAAATTTTAGACAATACTAGTAAAATTAGAAAATACAAAGAACCAAAGATTAATTACAAGTGTACCGGTTACACTAATATGATCAATTTGATTGATGATGTTTTATCGGAACCACTGTTTACACGCCACCTTCCCTATGATAATTTAAAAGACCTTTTACAATTTGATGATACGCCACTGATGGATCCTCGAATTCCATTGCATATTCAAGGAACAGAGAGATACGTTCAATTGCTAACTACTGTTTCGCGATGTGTCACTCACAAAAATCGAGAAAGGGTTATGGAGGTAACTGTAGAGAGCAGAAAAAGAACTCCTCGCTTGGAGAGCAAAATAGACTTCAAATTAAAAAACAAATTATAGTTTCATACCCTTATTATTTATTACGAGACTGTTTTGAGTTTAAAAAATTGTTGTAAAAAAGGATTTTAAGTTTATTATTGATTTTTGAATGTCAAGAATTATTTGTGATTTTAGAATATATTTTTTGTAAGTGAATTATTTTATTTAAGTTCATTTATTTAAAAAAAACCTTTACTTATTTTTGAGTTTTTTTTTGTTTTAAATGTTGTCAAAATGGCCAAAGCAGAATCTTTAAACTTTATTAAACAAATATCTTGAAAATTTGAAGAGATGGTATAGAAAATAGTTATATAAAAAAACTCAGAATTTAATTCTCTTTCAGATGGCATATATATATATATATATATATATATATATATATATATATATATATATATATATATATATATATATATATATATATATATATATATATATATATATATATATATATATATATATTTATATGTATGTATGTATGTATGTATGTATGTATGTATGTATGTATGTATGTATGTATGTATGTATGTATGTATGTATGTATGTATATATATATATATATATATATATATATATATATATATATATATATTAATTGAGCACAATGAAATTCAGCACCCTTCAATTGTTAATTATGCAAAAACTACTTAACAGATTTTTGTATTTTTTTTTGACACAATGAAGCTAATTGAATTATTTACTTATTTTAATAATTTTTTACATTTTTCATTGGATGCTTAGAAACCGAATATCTTTGCGTGTACTTGACATCATCTGCTGGATCTTGCTTTGAGTTACTTTTTTTGAGGTAACTATTCATTTTTTCTTAAAATTTTTTTTATTTGCAGCTAATTTCTTGCTTTTCAATAAGATTCCTTTTATAATTGACAAATAACTTTTAACAACTTGCTGCTCAGGACAATTTTAAAGATTTGCTTCCAAAGACATAAATTTGAAGCCATTTTGTTCATATCATTCTAGAGACTTCTCGGAGTAGTGAACTGAAGCCAAATCAGGCCAAAATATTGTGGGCATTTCATGCTTTCTAACAAATGGCATAAGACATTTCTTTAAGCATTCTTTTATATATAAATCTGCGTTAAAAGTTTTATGAGTAATGTATGGTGCACTTTTTAAACCACAGGAGCAGAGTGCTTGCCATATAAGGAACTTGGGAGCAAATGTTTCAGTTTGAATATACCTAACTTTTTTGGCAACATATCTACCTTTTGGCTGATAAAAATATTGCTGCCCAATAATTTACAATAACCAATACTTATTACTACTAAAATCAAACAACAAAACTTTAGCTTCCTTGTGCAAAAAAATTAAAAAAATTTGTCAAGTAGTTTTTGAGCTCAAAGTTTTGCAGATTCTTAATTATGATCTTTAAATGATAAGGTTGATTTGATCTTTAAATGATAAGGTTAGGTTTTTTTAATTTTAAATATCTGACTTCAAAATTAATTAATTTAATGGTTTCACGGTTTAGATCAAACAATTATATTATGCATAATAATAGATTGTCTTTTTTTGTTGTTAAAATATAATTACTTATTACATAATAATAATTATTCAGTTAACCTTCACATCTGTATAAACTAACTTGATTGAATCTTTACTATATTCTTTATTTTATTTTCTATAAATCTTATTTATATTTTTTTGTATTTTGCAGACACCATGCCCAAGTATGCCAAGAATGAACTAGAAAATTGCGTTGGAGATTTCCTGAAAAGAGTGCCAGATAGAAAAAGCATAAGTGACCGTGAAAAACTAAACCACGACAATAGTTTTAATGATATTTTTCAGACCTGCAATTTGAAATGTGTTTTAATCTTGAGTATACTTTTAATATTGTTTTATTTGTTTTTATTAATAAGGCACACAGGTTGCCCTCTCTGTAATGTTCTCTGAATGTTTAATTTTTGTTCCCAAAACCCTACAAATTATGTGATTGGTGAAATATACTCATTGCATAACAAATGTCTTTTGAATGTTTATAAGACATCTTTTCTAGACCAATTTTGTATAACTGGACTTAAATGGAAAGTCATATTTAAGTCTTTTTATGACGTCTTTAGGATACCCTAAAAGGATATCTTTGAGCGTCTAATCTAGGATCAGTTTGGAACGCGTCCAAAACATTCCGTCTGAATGTTCATTGTACATTTTTTGTACGCCCCCTTGTTAGCTGCGTAATTACTGAATTAACATAATTACTCAATTACAAAAATTTACTTACTGCCCACCATAACATTGACCGGCCTGCCAGGAAATATTCTTCTGCTGTGTCATTTTTATTTTTGGCAAACTTTGACTGAAATAGAAAATCAAATTAATGGTAAAAGGCAGAAATATAAATATTATTAAAACATAAACTATATAAATATATGTTTATTATATAAACTGCTGCACTATTTAAATATAGTACAGCTGTGGCGCAGTGGTTAGAATTCTGGCTCAGAAACATAAGGTTGAGGTTTGATTTTGGCTCTTGCCCAGGCTTTCTTAAACTATGGGTTGCAACCCAAATGGGGTCAAGTAGCCAAGTTCTGGGGTCACGAGAGATACGGTTTTAAAAATTAAAATTTGAATTGCAAAAATGTAAAATGATTTTTCACTTTTTTAAAATTTCTTTTTATATATTTGCAAACTGTTGTATTATGCAAAAACGTTAAGATTTTACAAAAGGTTTATCATAGATTTAAATGCGTAAAAGCAAACATAAAACATCATTTTTTTGTTGTTGTTGTCTTAAGAAGGGATGAGTGTTTTTAGTTTAAAAAGAATATTTTTTCAGCAATGGAATTTTTTTTTCTTTCTTATTCAAAACTTTATAAGTTCGAGTTTTATTTATGAACACAAACTACATTTATAAACAAAGTTCATTTAATACTAAAAAAATAAACTAAATTGTGATAAAATTAAAAACTAAACTATTACCGTAAAACGGGTTGAATAGAAACAGTGGGGTGAATAGAAACAAAACTTCATTTTTCGTATATATAATCTATTTACTACATAACTATGAGTAAATAATGGCTACTAATAATTTTTCTAGGTTGCTACACTTTAGCCTGAAAGTGAAATGATTGTTTGCTTATTTAGCAGCATTGGTTCTTGTTTGTTTTTCATGTTGAATTTTACCGCGCAATTCTTGTTTTTTTTATTCACTTTGAACTTTCCAGGTAAGTCGGAATACTCAGTGTTCTTAAAAGTAAATAGCTGTACAAAACATAGTTTAATTATTCATATAAAAGAGTTAGGCTAACTTTAAGCTTTAACTGTAACAATATTATTATAATAATTATTTGAATTTTTTAGGTTAGGTTTTCAGAATTGATGGGGTGAATAGAAACATATAATTTCTAGTGTTTCTTTACACCCCGCAATAAAAAAGTAATTCTAAATCACGTTTATACTGTATAAAATACATACTGTATGCTATATATTTATGTTAGACACTTAACTGAAACAGCTGTTTTATTTCAGAACCCTGTAAAATGCCAAGGAAGTACAAACACGTGGTTGGAGGTGGCTACAAAAAGCATGATCCAAAAACAATTGAAAGAGCAATTTCTGACATACAGAATGGATTAAGCCTTCGAAAGTCTGCTGAAAAACATGGTTTGCATTATAGTGTTCTTTATCGACACTTGAAAAGAGGTCCAAATTTAAAGAAACATGGTGGTCAGACAGCATTATCTTTTGAAGAAGAACAGCTGTTTGATATGTGGCAAATGGGGTTATCCCATTGACACTACAACTCTACAACTCCTTGTAAAAGACTTTTTAGACCGGAGAGGGAAAGAAGTTAAAAGGTTTAAAGATAACCTCCCCAGCCCTGACTTTGTGGAATCATTTATAAAACGTCATAAGGAACAACTGGCCGTGAGAATGTGTTAGAATATTAAACGCTCGAGGGCTGGTGTAACACCAGAAACAATTAACCACTATTTTGATGAACTGACAAATGAATTAAAGGATGTGCCTTTATCTAATATCGTTAATTACGATGAGACGAATCTAAGTGATGACCCTGGTAAGCGAAAGGTCATTATACGTAGAGGGACAAAATATCCAGAAAGAGTCATAAACTCATCAAAGTCATCTACGTCTGTGATGTTTGCAGCCGCTGCTGATGGCACTATTTTACCACCTTACGTTGTGTATAAGGCTATGCACTTGTACCAAAGCTGGACAGAAGGTGGGCCAAAAAACGTCAGGTACAATCGAACAAAGTCTGGCTGGTTCGATTCCTTTTGCTTTGAAGATTGGGTACTGACAGTTGCTCTTCCGTACCTGAAAAACAAAACAGGTCAAAAAATTCTGATTGGGGACAATTTGTCTTCCCACTTATCAAAGGAATCTGTGAAGTTGTGTAAAGACAATGATATCAGTTTTATTTTTCTCCCAGCTAACTCCACCCATCTCACACAACCTCTAGACGTAGCCTTTTTTTGCCCATTGAAATCAACATGGCGGCAGATTCTCGAAGAGTGTTAAAAAGGCCCAGGAAGAGCAGAAGCAACTGTTCCTAAGGACAAATTTCCCTTGTTATTGAAAAAGTTGTGTTTTATTGAAGGAAGAAAATGTGATCAGCGGTTTTAAGAAGTGCGGTATAGCGCCTCTAAACAGGAACAAAGTGCTGTCTATGCTTCCAAAAATCATTGATGATGATGAAAATCAGAATCCAGAAAACATTCAAAAGAACACTGAAGCTGTTGACAGGAGTTTCCAAGAGCTCCTTCAGAGTCTGCATCATGACTCCTAAGATAAGGCAAAAAAGAACCAAAGTAAATGTAAAACCTGGCAAAAGTATTGGTGTTGAGAACTTCGTCGTGGACGATGAGATTCCCCAAACTTGGGCCAAAACCCAGGTACCTCAGGTACTAAACAGGTTCAGCCAAAGAAAAGCCGAAAGTGTGTGGAGATATAATCAGAAGATGAAGAGGACTATTCCAATTTGTTTTCTTACCGTAGGGCACATTATATGTAACTTCTTTTGTTTATGTACTCAAATAAATCATTATGTTGAGAAATAAATTTATTTGTATTCATTTATTGACCAAAAATCCATATTTGTCTGTTTCAATTCACCCTAAATTTTTTTCAATAGAAAAACACATGAAATTGAAGTACTGTTTCTATTCACCCCCATCTGCGGGGTGAATAGAAACACCATGGTTTATATATTTTTCTTTAAAATCAAATAAAATTTAAAAATTTAAATACTATAAACAAATAGGCCTAACAGAGACCTGTGTTTGGGCAAAAAATTGTTTATCTAGAACAACTTCAAGTATGCACATTTTCATACCAAAGTTGAAAATTGTTTCTATTCACCCCGTTTTACGGTATATTTTCTTATTTGCTATTGGTTTTTACACCGTAAAATCGTAAGTGTTCAACAGTAAAGAGATTTTATTTTATTTTTATTCATTCAGTAATTAATTATTCAAATATTATATGCAATATGTTATTTTTATTTATTTTTCTGATTTTGAGATCAAAATAATTTTTGGGCATAGATAAATGGCTGAACTTAAACAAGAATGGTAATGACGCAGATGATAAAGCTACAAACCCTTCTCTGACTGGACAAAGTATTGAAAAACAGGCATTTAATGTGCGAAAAAGAAAATATAATGAACCTTTTCTTCAATTTGGCTTTACGTTTCAAAATTGTAAGGGTACTGAACTGCCAATTTGTATGATCTGCAATCAATTATTGGCTGGGGAGAGTATGAAACCATCAAAATTAAAAAGACATCTTAAATCAAAGCATGTTTCGTATGTCAATAAACCAAAAAAATATTTTGAAAGACTGTATAATCTTTAAATAAATAACAAAATATTTTGAAAAATTTATACCCGTTAATGACAAATATTTACTAACATTCATATGAAGTAATGTATTGCTAAAAATAAAAAGAAATTCACCAACGAAGAAGATCTTGTATTACCTGCTGCTATTAAAATAGTAGAAATGTTGAAATGATAGCTAAAAATACTTTCATTACTGCTCTGCTTAGTACTGAAGAGTATGTGCTTTCTTTACTCACTCAAATATACTCATATATTATACTCATCTATCAGATCATCACATACAAGCCTTTGTTTTGTTTTGTTTTTTTACATTCAAGGCTAAATTTTTGCTTTATTTTTACTTATGAATTTTTAATGTCACATTAATCTCACGTGAAACTTATTGCAAAGTTGCAAATGAAAGAAGCTTGATGATAAGACTGCAGTCTTCTACTTGCTGCTGTTATTATTTTAATTTTTATCTTATTTATAAATGTATACAAATAAATATACTTGTATTTATAAATGTATTAGTTGTATGTAAAATAATACATTTATAAATTATTATTTTACACACAAGTAATAAGTTAGTTGTATGTAAAATAAATAGTGACGAAATAAATTTAAAAAAAAATTGAAAAATTCCTTTGTCAAACAACACTGTCGTGAATAGAATTTCTAATATTAACAAGGACCAATATCACAAGAATTTTAGAAAGCCCAAAATTTTCAATTCAGTCGGACGAAACAACGAATATTACTAAATTGACTCGTTGTTAGTATATGTCAGTTATGTTTATAAAGAAAATGTGAAGGAAGAATTGTTATTTTGTCGTCCTATAAAAGACCATACTACAGGGAAAGACATATATTGTAAAGTCAATGAACTTTTTAAAACTGAAGGTTAAGGATAGAGAAATTGCTGTGGAATATGCACAGATGGTGTAAGAGCCATGACGGGCAAAAAAACTGTTTTTAAATCATTTTTTAAAGCTGCTTATTACAGTTCTATGCATATTTTATAATAAACACTGATTTCAAAAAGATAGCTTGGATTTAAAAGCCGTTTTGGATTGGCTTGAGTAAGATTGACCACCTGCCAATTAAAGCTCAAGAGGATTTTGCTGAGCTTTCGAGTGACTCAAACTTAAACTAAATTTTCCAAAAAAGCCTTTGACTGAGTTCTGAATCGGAACTAGACCTGAATTTCCCACAATCACTGATATGACATTAAATGTTCTTCTGCCGTACACCACATATTTATGTGAAGTTACTTTTTCAGCTTTAACATATATTGAATTGAAATATTGTTGATCACTAAAAAATGTTGGAGAGGTCTTACGTCCAGCAAAACATTCAAACATTGTCAAACATTCCACCAAGACTTAATTTGTTAAGCAAGAAAAAGCAGGCACATCCATCTCATTTTTTTTATTTAAATTATAACTTAATAATTTCCACTCAACAACTGCATTTGAATATATTCGAGCGAACTGAGATGGTAAATATTCCCTTTTATTTGTGTTATTGTAAAAAATGCAATTTTAATGAAAAGTAGGTAATAGTTTGATTAAAAATGCAATTGCAAAAAATACAATTTTATAACTTTTTGTACAATTTTTAATTTTAGATTTTTGTTTGTTCCTAAAAGAATTCTAAAACTATATATTTCATATGTATATGACATATATACACATATATGCATATTGTTACAAAATAAATAAATCACTAAAAATATTTACTTATATTTGGTAATTTTTTTATAAATTATCATAAATGGCGTCGTGAGTGAAAAAAGTTTAAGAAGCCCTGCTCTAGCCCAAAAAGCTTTAGTAACAAAAAAAAAAGTAAACAATGATGACTGAATGAATTAAAAGTGACTAAAAAATTAAAACAAATTATAAATTAAACAAAATAACAAATAAATTTCAAAAATTATTCTATCCTTTGAAAAAGAACTTTAAAACTGCATAAAATGACAAGAGAAACTTAATAAAAAATTTAAAAATTAGTCAAACCAATAATAAAATAAAAACTATAAAAACATTTTGCTTTTTAAATTCTGTTTTTATTTTAAATTCTATCGTATAAATCATTGTTTTTAATAAGTTTCTTTTTAAAAAAAAAAACTTGAAACATTAGTCTATCTAGATAAATTTGAACAACAATATTTACTATTGTTTGTTGATAAAACAATTCATAGAGAAATATATTTTATTTGATAAATTTGTATTGTGCATAACTGTTTTAGTGTTGTAATATTTAAATTTTATTTTACACATTTTAAAATTATGTTATATAGTGTGTATATTGTACATAGTTTATATTTAGTTTTATTTGCTTATTGTCAATCAACTCATATTCTCTGACTGTTCGCTTTTGCATTGTTTTTACATTTTGCACAAAAAATATAAATTTAACATCTTGTTTGTCTGAAGTAATTCTGTATTAGATATTACTGTCTTTGATAAATCTGTAAATTCGTATTATATAGTTTAAAAAATAAAAAATAAAAAACAGTATTAATTAACTTATCTAAAAGCTGACATATGGAAGTTTTACTTCATTTCTAACAAAAATATAAAATATTCATTTTTGACACAAAATGATTAGAACTAACTTAAAAAATCATTTTTACTTAAGCATTTTTAAACTTTTTTACTCATCCCTACAGGTTATTATACATCATCAACATTTTCATTCTTGTGAAAGAAAAAGATTAAGGAGTTTTTAATTTTTAAGTAGAATTAGCAATAGAACTCATTAATATTTCTTTTAAACAAACCTATAACTTATTTCTGAGGCTTTGATTCTAACTAATAGAAAACAACCATAAAAGGTAAAATGCATGACTTACCTGTTAATTTTAATAATATGATTTAATTTTAACTTACTATTTCAAGTCTTTATAATACTATAACATAATAGTAAATTTCAAAATAGTACAACTGAAACATTTTTTAGTTTTAGAAGGTTCAAAATAACCAACTTTGTATATAAGTTAACCATATAACCTTATTTTAATTAATAATAAATATGGAGACAGCTTTCATAAAAGTAAATGAGATGCCATTTAATTTTAGAATGTTAACAATTAATTAAACACTTACATATATACCTAGACTAAGACACACACCAAAGTAAAGTCCAACAACTATCCAATCCCATACTGCTAATTTGGCTTCCATTTACTAAAATAAAGTATAAATTTATTTATTTTTCAGAAGAAAAAAAACTTAACCTTAAAACTAAAATGGTTAAATTTTTTTATACTTTTATAAAAAATGAATTTATTTAAATTTATAGTTAAAAGTTTCATTTTCAACATTATTTTATAATTTTATTTTTGTATTTTTAAAAAAACAGTTAGTATTATTATTAATATTTTTTTAAACTTAGCAATCAGCTAACTAAAATTAGAACTCTGATTCAAAAACACATAGAAAGAAATTAATAATTGTACAATGTTAATTTATATTCATATACAAATATAAATGTTAATTTATAATCATATGTAAATATAAATGTACATCCAGGTTTTATTGCCTAAAATTTAGATTAAACTCTTTTGCAATTGAAACTTGAAATGTATAAGTGTCAAGAGCAAATATTATTTTTAAAGATATTACAAATTCATGACACAATGACATGACACTAAATAATAAATTCAAATTATTACAATAAATTATTATGATGAAAGATGCATTGGGATTATTTCAAAAAAAATCATACCTTTCGAAAACAATACAAACATTCTTACTATGTTTATAGGTATATCATATAAATAAAAAAGTATTATATTACCAGTACTAGTAACATAAATATAATTTATTTGGTTTCTTATTATGTTTTTAAAATTTTTAATAAATATAAATTAAAGTTGTTTAAATAAACAATAATCAAAACACAATAAAACCTAAAACTATAGAATAATAAAAATTATTTTAGGCTCATTTAAAAAAAATTTACTCATATTTAAACTACTATTAAAATACTAAACTACATATGTTAATAATTTTTTTAATTTTTATTCACAAACTGAAAAAAAAAGTGATTTTGAAAAAAGAGGTTTTGTTTCAATGAGCAGATTGCAGATTGTCAACAGTGTTTACAAATGACAACACTAAATAGTAAATAAAATGAACTTGTTGTAAATGTAAATAAAACTAATACAAAACAAAAGTAAATAAAACTAACTTATTGATTGTAACATGTGCTTTGTTATTGTTTTTTTAAATAATAAAGTTTCTTAAAAAATATCTTAATTTATAATTACGATTATAAATTGTTTTATTTTTGTAAACAACATTATTTTATTATAATAATCTTTTTATAATAATACCTTATATGAATAAAATTACAATAAAATATTAGTATAAAAACAAAGGTATTACTTATAATGATATTATAATATAGATATTAATAACAAATTTATAATTTTATAGTTTTACAATTTTATAAAAAATGATTCTTTAACATATAACACACATTTTTTTGCAAATTTATTTATGGTATTGTCAATATCTTATAACTGTGATATTTCAATCTTAATAGATAAAGGTTATTTGGTAACGTTACTCAAGGTAACATCATAAAAATATTAAAATTTAATGTACAATTCATATTAAGGTTGAAAAAATGTTTTAGCCTTTCTAATTATTACTATTATCATTATTTTTTTCTTTCATGGTTATTGTCATATTATTGCTGTGATGTTAATAATTAATACTTTAATAAAAGTAAAACTATTTCTCATTTCAGTTTATAATAATTTACCAATATTTGCAATAATTATTTTAAATTATTATGTATATTGTACAACTATAGTATACCTTTCCTACTTTTTCTTTGTTTTATATAACTATTTTCATTATTTTCTATTTTGTTTTTTATCATACATTCTACTTTTTTTTATAACTAATATAGAGCCTAATAATAATAAAAAATCTAAATAAATGTGAATAAATAAGTAATTTATTACTATTATTAAATTATTATGTTATTATTAGAATTATTTATTTTAGTTGATTTTTATTATTAATACTTATTATAAATTTTTTACATTTTCATTTTTACCTACTTTTAATATTATCATTTTTCTTGATGTATATTAATACATATTTTTTCTAACACTTTTGACTAGTTAGAAACAATGAGTAGTTCTCCTGTTAATGTATACTTTAATTTACAAAATTAAATATTAAGATTAAAATAAATGCTAAAAAAAAGAGCATCAAATTTCTTTGTCTAAAACCACTTTTGCAAATGACTTAATATATTGAAAAATATTACATTTATAATAAAATTGTTAACTCCATGTAAACATTATTTTAAGTATTTTAATGAGAGAAATAGTAAAAAACAAGAAATAATTAAAAAGCAGTTATAAACAATACCTGAAAAGCAGAGTCTTAACCATTCTTTTAACATAGTCAATATTAACACAACTAAATATTTAAAGCAACATAAATTAACTCTAAAAATCATATCGAATTTTAGCTTCTTTTTATTATTTTATTATTAAGTTTTCTAAACTATTTTCTAAAAAAAATAAATATTTGTTAATCCATTTAATGTTTACGAATTTAATTCAGAAACACTATTGGCTGTTTCTTATGAGGTCTTCTTTATTAACTTTCTTATAAAAAGGTCTTTTTTACTAACTGGTCTGAACTTTTTATTTAATTTTTAAGAAATAAAAACCTATATCTTTTTTTTAGGGGTGCAGTCTTTACAATATTGTTTTTTTTTCAAATAACTAAGTTCTTGTCTAAAATTTGTTAATTGATTTAAAAACTCAGGTGCTTTAAAACTTTAAAATTTCATTTTGCTAGATTTTTTTATAATAAAGATATCATTTTATATTTTAATTATATTTTAATAATATTAGGCTTCATCTTTAAAAAATGGATCTGTAAGTTTAACATATGTTTTTTAACACATCGACTTTTTTTAAAAAAACTTGTCTATAGACAAGCTTTTAGGTTCTCGGAAAACTAATTTAAAACTAAAATAATCGTTACAATGTCGGCGATTAGTGGATTCGCATTTTGTAACGTCTTGTATTTTCATACAAGTCGTTACAAAATAAGACGCGTTTTTATTCATTCTAATAGGGCCTCTACAAAAAAGCAGGCTTAACAATTTTTGTTGTTATTGTTGTTGTTAACGTTGTTGTTGTTGTTGTTGTTGTTGTTGTTGTTGTTGTTGTTGTTGTTGTTGTTGTTGTTGTTGTTGTTGTTTTTAAGGTGCTTTTCTCCATCCTTTACATGTCGCTTATTGGCCTGGAGCCGACGTTAAATCTCGGACCTCTTAGTTCTGAGCCAGAACTCTAACCACTGCGCCACGGTTACACACAATAGAGACTTCTTATCAAAAGTATGAATGAGACCATAGACCACAAAATAGAGATTTTTTAGTCCACGCATTCGAATGTCTATGTGAACATGAGATTTTGAAGACTCATTTAGAATCAGTAGTGAGTTTAATGCAACGGGGAAAAGTCACAGGAAGCATCAAATAATAAAAGAATCTATACTTGGTTTTACAATAAATTATTTGTTGGAAAACTCGACTGAAAAAAATTGTTTATTATATTTTGGGACCAGGGGGTCTTTACTCCTTTATTAGCCCGAGGTCTTCACATCTCTAAATCCGGGACTGGATAAAAACAACAATAGTGTGCGTATGAAACATTTAGGCTTTCAAGATGATATCAGGAAATAATTAATTTTGCCTCCTAACAGGCTTAAAAAGTCGCGACAATTTCTTTCAGCACTATTTTAAGTCTAAAATATGCATGAAAAGGAAAATTTAGATCAGTTAAAAAAAATTCAAAAAGAATTTGCAAGCATATCATAGAACTTGCTACGTATACTTTATATTAAAAACTATATAAAGTATTATTAAAAAAAGTATCTCATTATAAAGTGTTTTTGAGTTAATAAAAACAAATTTTCTAAACTTTTACAAAAGTGCATTTTTTTTTCAAAACTTCAATAAACAGCACACTTGTTGAAGTACCAAATGACAATAATAACAAAATCAAATCGATAAATTATTTGTAACTATATCCATATCACAACCAGCCCTGGATTAACATATAAGCAAATAAGCACAAGCATAAGACAGCAAACCAAAAAGTCAGGGTTTAAAAGACAGGGTATAAAGGGATTTTTTTTGTTTTTTTACTACTTTTATTTACACTAAATAGGTCAAAATCTTACATAATACTATATGAAATATGAAATACTGCTTTAAACTTTACCGTTTATTTCAGGGTACAATTTAAGCTGTGTAAGGTTTCATTTACATCACGACCTTGAAAGAACTGTTGTCGAAACATGGTACCTTGATTGCATATCTATTATTGGTCACCAAATTTTTAATGCAATTTTTGTCCTTAATTGAAATTCAATTAAATGTAGGAAAATTAATACAAAACATCGTCAACCAAGAGGCTTAGATAATCAAAAAAAACATTTAGAACGATTAAAAAATCCAAACAAGTGTTAGGAAAAAATACAAATTTAAAGTTAAGAAAATGTTTAAAACTTACAGTTAATATAATAAATTTAATATCAAAAAATCAATATCAACATTCATCACTGGCATCAAATAATGATGCGGTGAAAATGGTACTGAAAATGAAGGTTTTTAAATCGATTAAAGTAAGTCTACCGTCACTGTGAATACTGCCAACCGAGAAAATGATTCTGGCCTGTGGCATGAGTTATATGTTGAGGAAAAAGCCTTTTGAGCTGCTGCTGGATCAAACACTTGCCAGCATCTTAAAGGTCTTTTTTTATAAATCACATTGTTTTTCAAGGATGGAAACAAAAAAGATTTTGTAATAATTTTTTGAATAGATTTTATAATGTTGTGTAATAACTTCTGTAACAGCATTGCTGTCAGTTTGTAAAAATGGTTTAGGAAACTAGTACCAACAAGTGCAGCTTTAAATCTTATTTTTTTCTCTGTTTACAATTAGAGTCATTCAGAGGTTTCTATATTTCAAGAAAATTGATGTAATAAATTTTAAAATAAAATTGAGAGTTTGTTTGATCTGTTTAAAATGATTTCAAAAGTATAAGAACTACCAGGTGTACCGGTATGAAGTAAGAGTTTTTTGTGTAAAAATGAAAAACTAGTTTTGAATGGAAAAGTTAAAATTATTTGTTTAAAGTACCAACCACTGCTTTCTACACATTTTTACCATCTTTCTCGTAGTTTGTGGAACTTTAACACGCCAATAGAAATGTTCGTCTTTCGTAGCAAACCAATCAGACACCCAAATTCAATTCCTTTCTAGGAATTGAAGTGCTGCTCAGCCAATGCGTTTCCCATCAATTAAAATAAATAGCAGTCAATAAGGGCCAGATCTGGTGAATAGGCAGGTATGGTTTCAGTTCCCAGCCTAGTGCTTTACACCACACCTTTCTGATCCCAACAAACAAAGAGCATTGCATTCTTGCCAAATCAATCAACGTTTTTTTAACTAAATTTTTTATTTTTTACTATTTGGGTTAAAAAAGTATTATAGTTGGCCGTATGCTGGTTTTGGGTTGACATATGTGCAGTGCAGTCGTAGTGTAGTGGTTAGAGTTTCGGCTTCAGAAGTAAAGTTCCGTAATTAGAAGCCTGCTCTGGTAATATATGAAAAAAT